GGTATCATTAAATATAAAATTATTAAAACACACACTCTCTCTTCCTTTTACTCAACTTTATACCTTCTATTTCATCCTTTTACTCAACTTTTATTAATTTTATACTCTCTTTAAATATAAAATTATTAAAAACACACTCTTTCTCTCTTCAAAAGTATCAAAAGTATCAACTATTTGATACCCTCTCTCCAAAAATACTCACTATCTCTTCTCTTTACTCAAATTTTATTNATTTTATATTNCAATACANCCCATTATTTCAANNAAAAACACTCTCTTTCTTCTTTTTACTCAAATTTTAATAATTTTATATTTAATGATACCCACATTGTATCACCACTACTTATTCTCTTATGATGTTGGTGTGCTCAACGACCATTTTAGGATGGATTGGTTACCTGGGCAACATGGGGTTATCCATCCCATGTTGGTGTGGTGGCCGGAGCCGCCGATGTTGCTGCAGATGTCTTGAACTTCGAGATTGATGTTGTTGACCTATTTGGAGCAGAATTGCTAGAGATCGATGAAGCACTGCAAGATAACCCTGACGCAGTTCAAGTGAACGCTCAAGTGAACGACGCGATTAGGGGTGGTCAAGAGGACGCAGTTCAAGTGAACGACGCGATTGGGGGAGGTCAACAAGGCGCAGTAGTGAACGCTGGAACAAACGCGATTGGGGGTGGTCAAGAGAACGCTGGAGCAAACGCGATTGGGGGTGGTGAAGTGAACGCTGGAGCAAACGCGATTGGGGGTGGTCAAGAGCACGCAGTTCAAGTGAACGACGCGATTGGAGGAGGTCAACAAGGCGCAGTAGGGAACGCTGGAGCAAACGCGATTAGGGGTGGTCAAGTGAACGCTGGAGCAAACGCGATTGGGGGTGGTCAAGAGCACGTAGTTCAAGTGAACGACGCGATTGGGGGAGGTCAACAAAGCGCAGTAGTGAACGCTGGAGCAAACGCGATTGGGGGTGGTCAATTGAACGCTGGAGCAAACGCGATTGGGGGTGGTCAAGAGCACGCAGTTCAAGTGAACGACGCGATTGGGGGTGGTCAAGTGAACGACGCGATTGGGGATGGTCAACAGGAGGGCCCAGTTCAAGTGGACGCGGTAGAAAACGCTATGGCCCAGGAGGAGAACGCAGAAGAAAATGAAGGAGTTCAAGCTGAAGAAAACGCTATGGCCCTGGAGGCGAACGCAGAAGAAAACGCTAT